GGAGAGATCAATCCCCAATTGTTTACTGAACGCCCTCCAGAACCTGGACACAAACTGAGAGCCCCTATCAGACACAATATTGTGGGGATGCCATGCAAACGGACAATTTCACGTATGAAAATTAGGACCAAATCTTGCGAAGATGGCAACTTCTTGAGAGGAATGAAGTGAGCCATCTTAGAAAATCGGTCTACAACCATGAGAATAGTAGTGAACCCAGCAGAGCTAGGAAGCTCAACAATAAAGTCCATGGATAGGTGGGACCATGGAATCTCAGGAACAGGAAGAGGCTGCAACAGGCCACAAGGAAGTGCATGAGTCACCTTAGAAACTGCACACACAGAACATGCCTGCACATACTCCTTTACATCTTTCCTGAGTGAATCCCACCAAAATGATCTAGTGATCGCGGCAGTGGACTTATTGATGCCCGGGTGTCCAGCAGTTATATTGTCATGGAACACTTTCATGATATTAACCCTTTCACATAGGGGAACGAACAGTTTATCACACGGTTTACCACTGGGCGCCTGAGGCTGGGCCTCCAGTATGGTGCCAAGCAGTGTAGAAGACAGTGAGAGCACAGTAGTAGCAATAATACACTCTGCTGGAATAATAGGAGATGTCATCTGTTCCGGAGCTGACTCATTATCAAATTGCCTGGACAAGGCATCAGCCTTGGTATTTTTAGAACCAGGTCTATAAGTAATGAGAAAGTTAAAACGTGAAAGGAACAGTGACCATCTAGCCTGTCTGGAAGACAAACGTTTGGCATCCCCTATATATGCCAGATTTTTGTGGTCGGTTATGATCAACAGGGGGTCCTTGGAACCCTCCAAAAGATGTCGCCACTCCTTGAGGGCAAGAATAATGGCCAACAGTTCTCTATTGCCAATATCGTAGTTGCGCTCAGCAGGAGACATCTTTCTGGAGAAGTAGCCACAAGGATGCAATGGTGTTCCCTGGCTTTCTCTCTGAGAGAGAACAGCCCCTACCCCTGTCTCGGATGCATCAACCTCCAATATAAAAGGTTTACTGGTGTCAGGATGTTTTAGTATGTCCGCAGAGGCAAATCTTTGTTTAAGAGTCTCAAAAGCATTCACAGCCTCTTTGGACCATACTGTGCTACTAACCCCTTTGCGAGTCATATTTGTGATTGGGGCTATTACAGAAGAAAATCCCTTGATGAATCTTCTGTAATAGTTGGCAAAACCAATAAACCTTTGAATGGCTTTTAAACCAGAGGGTAATGGCCAGTGTAGTACAGCCTCTAGTTTTTTAGGATCCATTTGAAATCCCGATGCAGAGATGTTGTAACCCAAAAAGTGGACTTCAGGCTGGTCAAATATGCACTTTTCTAATTTACAATAAAGTTTATTTTTCAACAACGTCTGCAGAACCTGTTTCACATGGGAGTGGTGAGTTTGAAGATCAGGGGAATACACCAAAATATCGTCCAAATAAACCAAGACAAATGAGTAAATGAATTCCCTGAGTACATCATTTATAAAGTCTTGGAATACGGCCGGGGCGTTGCATAACCCAAATGGCATTACCAGATATTCATAGTGTCCACTACGGGTATTAAATGCCGTCTTCCACTCATGATTCTCTTTAATTCTAACCAAATTGTAAGCGCTCCTAAGGTCAAGCTTAGTAAATACTTTAGCTCCCTGAAGTCTATCGAACAATTCGGAAATGAGTGGAATAGGGTATGCATTTTTTACAGTGATTTTATTAAGTGCCCTGTAGTCTATGCAAGGGCGTAACTCACCACCCTTTTTCTCAACAAAAAAGAATCCTGCACCAGCTGGTGAGGATGACTTTCTTATGTGCCCTTTGCTCAAGGATTCTTTGATGTATTCCTCCATTATTTTACTCTCCTGGGGAGATAAGGCATAAACTGCCCCCTTAGGTGGCATAGCGCCTGGAAACAGGTTAATGGCACAGTCATATGCTCTGTGGGGAGGCAATACATCAGATTGAGCCTTGTTAAACACCTCCTGAAGTTCTCGGTATTGTATGGGAACTCCAGGAGTTTGGGGAGTGGTAGTGGGAAGGTCAATAGTATCCAATCTCTTTAGTACTGGTTTTATACATCTCCCCATACACTCTTTACCCCATTCTAATATCTCCCCATTAGCCCAGTCAATATAGGGATTGTGCTTACTCAGCCACGGAAACCCTAATATGATAGGACATGATGGAGAAGTAATAACCTGAAACGTCATCTCCTCCCTATGGGAGGCCCCAATGGAGATCGTAATAGGGACAGTTTCGTGGGTTATAAGCGGTTGTGTGAGTGGTCTACCATCAATAGCCTCTACAGCTAGCGGCGTAGGTCTCTCCCTGACCGGTATCTCATTACCCCTAATAAACTGGACATCAATAAAATTTCCAGCAGCACCTGAGTCCATTAGGGCACTGCAAGAAAACTTCTTGTTATCAAGGGAAATAGATACCTCAAGGAGGAATCTACTTTTGTTTTTGTTAGAGGACAACTCCATCACACCTAAGATCTGTCCCCTTAAGGTTCTTAGGTGCGGAAGCACGCACTGGACAATTAGTTATCATATGTCCCTTTCTACCGCAATATAGGCATAACCCCTCCCTTCTCCTATACTGTTTTTCGGCCTCTGACAGTCTAGTGACCCCCAACTGCATAGGTTCGGGTTCGGACTGTACAGGGAGGTTAGACAAAACAGGTTTAGAGAATTGAGGTGCTAGGGACATAGCCGTACGTCTGGTCTTGCTTCTGGTGACTTCTCTGAGTCTTAACCTATTATCAATATGCATGACAAACTTAATAAATTCGTTAAGACTCTTAGGTAATTCTTTAGCGGCTATCTCATCTAGTATAGTCTCTGAGAGACCCTTTTTGAATGCTGAGATTAACCCATTGTTAGTCCAGTCTACCTCGGAAGCTAAGGTACGGAATTCAATAGCATAATCCGAGATAGACCGGTTACCTTGTCTGATGTGCATTAGGGCAGTGGAGGCGTCATCCTCTCTACCCAATGGCTCAAACGTGAGCTTGAATTCGGCAAGGAATTCCCTGTAATTATGAGCTATGCTCCGATTACTCTCCCACAACGGATTAGCCCAGGCAAGGGCCTTACCCTTTAATTGATTCATTAGATAACCAATTTTTGCTCTGTCCGTGGGGAATGACCCTGGTGAGGCCTCAAAATGGTACTCCACCTGATTAAGAAAACCCCTGCATTCCTGGATATTGCCATCAAACTGTAGGGATGGTGATAAGGAGATGCAAGGAGTCCTATTAACAGTGGGTGGGGGTATACAGGGTAGAGGTGCTATAGGAGGAGACGCTGCAGGCTGAAGATGCTCCGTTCTAGCGAGAAGCGTACTTAAAGCCTGAGTGAATTGATCCATGCGGTGATCATTCTCCTCTAATTTCCTCTCGCAAGCAGCTATGTGCTGACACAGTTCTACAGGATCTATGGCCATGTCGTAATGTCAGGATTACTGTTTGATCCAGCACGTAGAACTGTACAGCACGGATGACAAATAAGTAACGTATTACCGGTCCTTAGAATGGCCGGATTTAACGTACAAAGAATAGTCAAAAATACTAGCCGAGGTCAGGGAACACAGAAAGGGACACAGCGATGAGGAAAGCCAGGAGTCAGGATACCAGAATATAGAGAAGGCAATAAAGAAAGCCAAAGTCAAAAACCAGGTAGAAAACTATAAACAGGAACGCGCTCTCAGACAACCACAAGGGAAACCTCTGAGCAGGCTGAGAACTGGGCCTAAATACTCCTCCTATAGTTCTGATAGGCTGTAACCGGCCTTTGACCCCAAAGTCAGTTACCAGGTTTCATTTGCATAATTGCTGCTCAGCATTAACCCTTCTGTGGATTAGGTTGCTGCTTGGCACAACTTTTCCTGTGTGGACAGTAAATGTCATTAACCACATTTCTATAAGCGGATGAATATGTGACAGTCAGCTTCCACATAGTTCTTTTTTAGTACTTCTTTTTAGTTGCAGGATTTTCACCACAATGCTCTGTGCAACACCCCAATTGTTGAAATGGTTATTACAGAACTTGCGGCATTTGACAGCCCTTTCACGATACTTGCGTGTAAAGTTTAGGTTCTCATAAGTTTAGCATCTCCATTTCTTCCGCCTGCATAGGTTTTTTTTGGCCAAGCAGAAGCAATTGCAAAATATTTAGAATAGGGTCAGCCAGAGTAAAGAGATAGGTGAGCATGTTCCAAGAATCTGGCAGCACAAGCACTCCAGGACGGTCTCTACAATCATACAGACACAAAGATCAATACGACATGAACAATTCCTAACAGGATACCTTAAACCTTACTTCAGATAAACCATACTACCCTTTTTTTTTTTTTTTTTTAATGGTGCCAGGATCATGACAGGATAAGTCTGTGGCTGCTTTATAAAATCCATATCTATCACCTAAGAAGACAGTTTGCTTAGTACCTAAATCCCAGCCAATCATGTTTCAAACATGAAAGGGATTAATTCAGTGTAAAGATTAAGAATATAGCAAAATGTCATTACACCAATCAGTAAGGATAACATATTACTTAACACTAACAAAACAATGTACTATTTTTTTTTTAATTCTTTATTTTATTTGTGCATAGATAAATCACAATAGCTTGACAGTAGTTAGGCATTAGTGGATACTGCACAGTTTTATATATAATAACATTATTTATCTAAGTGTTGTTCTATGTTGCTGCATATAGAAGGTAAATTACAAGATTAAACATAGCAGAGGAATATATGTTTAGTGCTATAGAGTAAGGTGTTCCTATTGCAGATTATGCTAGGTGTACTGGTAGTTGCTTATGAGTTTCTGCATGTTGATTATTAAGCTATTTCTAGCGATTATTCAAAATATTCAAAATATGTTGCTTGCTAGTAAGATGGCTAGCTCAGGTGCAGGCATCATTTAAGTGTACACATTGTGGTGAGCCTAATGTGTAGCATTCTTATTAGGTGATGCCAAGTCCAGGTTTAACCGATCCCCATCAGCTTTAGGTTTGGCCGAAGTAGTGGTCGGTGGGGGTCCCCCCAGTCGATGTTCTTCCAGTTCCCAGCCGGGATGTGGTCCGAGGGTAAGGTGGCAAAAGTCCCCTGACCTGTGGTGAGACTGCTGTGGGCTTGTTGTCTCTGGCTGGGGTTGTGGAGCTGGTGGTGGCTGGGGTCTGCGGTCGGGGCGATTTGGTAAGGTCCCCCCTTGCTTACCATCTCTATCAAGCAGAGGTGTTAGGCTGAGTCGTGTCTGGGAGTCTGGGGGTGTCTGACGGGATGTCTTCGCCCGGGCAGGTTGATGGTCCCCATGAGGGAGGGGGGGGTTCGGGCGGGCAGACCGGGAGCTCACTGCTTGTCAGGTGGGTAACTCACCGCTGGCAGGCTGTTGCTGACCCGCCATCGCTTGTGTCGAGTCTCCCGCATTCTCCTCCCAGCCTTCCAGGCTGTAGTTGCACCCTCATCTGGAGTACTATTTATTTTTTGTTTGGACTTTGAAAAGAAAAAAATTAACTCTAAGTTGGATACTCCCCTCATAGCAAACCTTTAGAAGGGAGAGCTATCTCCTTGTCCATGCAATCTGTTTCCAATGGAAGAATTACGTTCAGGATTAGTCACTGTACAATTTGGAAATGTGGATCCATGATTTGATTAGTTGTATTTTTATGTGGGGCCACTTTAACGTAAGATGTAACAAGGGCTTGTCTTGCAAAGTCTTTTGACCTGTTTTAAAACACTAAGGCTTGCGTTAATGACATGCAAATATTACTCATTACTATTTAAAGTCATAGACACTGGACAAGGACACATAACACACCAATCCATCACAAAACATAGAATTCATACTCAACAATCATTGCAATATGATTCATGTTGTCATTCGCTAAAACAGAAAAACGGGAAAGTAGTGGATACACACAGTGGAAAACGCAGAGTTGCCAACGCAAAAAGCACATTCATGGATACACAGAGATCTTTTGAACAAGCTCCTGCATATTCAGATTTACAAACAGCTATTGCTGTAACCTTCACAAACATCTACTCCCATTTCTAACCTCAATCGTTAACAAAACATGCCTTTTTATTTTTTATTGCATTCCTTTACTCTGCACATTTAAACAAAACAGATAAGAAGTGAATTCAAAGTTTGACAAATCCGTGCAGTACGAGATGCTCTGCAGTCCAAGTCCCATGAATCCTTAGGGGCAACAATTGCCATAGTATACAACAGTCCATAAAACGTTTATTCAATATGCTGTTGGGCAGGGATTTTATTAAGACACGGAGGCTCCTATTATGTTGCACTCTTTCTTTATTTCCCTCAGCAGCAAAGAAAACATTAACAATAATATGAACACAGGAACAGTTCTTAACATATATCTTCCCTGGCAACCAATCAGCCAATCAGGTTCCACTCACCAGCATAATAGGCGGTGTTCTTATGACAATTTCCTCTTTCTTTGCTGCTCCCTCAGTTAAGTACACTGATCCCATAGTTCTTAACTGTGGGATTATTATTATTACTATTATTATTATTGTTATTATTGCTAATATTAATACTGTTATTACTAATATTACTATTATTATTAGTACTAAGTTTAGTATTATTTGCTAGTATTACTGCTCTTTTTAATTTACAATTATTATTTTACTACAATATTATTCTGATTACGTTGATTAAATTGTTGTGCCTTTTATTTCTGTTTTTTGCTTGATTGGGCTCCCCCCGGTTCCCTATATCTCATTAGGGGACACCAGGAGGGGAATCCATTATATTCATCCCTCTAATTTTACTTACACTTGTCTCGCGGCACTTTCATGCCTTTTTCAACTGACGTCTAATTTGTCTAATCTGCCGTTCCGCAGTTTCCTTTATTCACCAGTTTATTTTCGTGCTTTTTTCCACTTGTATGATTTTCCGTTCGTATGATTTTTTGACGAACTGTGCATTAATTCACACAGTTCGTCTCTTTATCGTTCATGCGTTTTACTGTTCGGGAGTTTCACAGTTCGGGAGTTTTACAGTTCGGGAGTTTTACCAGTATTTATACTGCTCTTCATAGTACAGGCTGTTCGCGGAATTTTGTAATTCGACAGAATTTTGCACGGGTATCTCCTATAAACCTGCCCCTTCCTGTTTCCCCTTGTTGGGGTTTAGTGTTTTGGCGAACGGACGGCTTTCTATCTCTCTCTGTGCTTTTGGAAGTTATTTGTTTCCTTTGCAGGATATTTTTTCCATATTCTGCGTTAATAAACCTTATAGCTAGGTATCCTATATTATATTATATTGCAGGTTACTATAGTCCACACTAATAATGCAGTCTGACAAGGACCAAACTGTGGCTTCTGTGTCACCCCTCAGATTTCCCAGGGTAACCCAGGAGAAGGGACTATGTTCCATGATTTATCCGCTACTGCAGACATACAGGCGCAATTCAACGCCTCGGTTTCTCAAGCCATTTCCCAGGCTATGGCTTACGCTCACACAGTATTACACAGGCCATCCTGCAGGTCCACCAATCTGCGCAGCAGACTGACACGTCAACTGCATCTAATGTACCAGAGGTCCCCCAAGGTCGCAAAGCTACCGCTAAGACCAAACATTCCTCCAAAATTTCTTTGAGTGACAGCCTGACGTCTGTCTCAGATGGTGCGCAACCACCACCGCGCAAAAGAGCCACTAGCCGGGCAAAATCGGCACCTCCATGACTAATTGCCAAGACAAGGCTTAGGACATATTGGGCCCCGCAGCAAAAATATTTGAGACGGTCGAAGATGACAGGGATATCATCTGCGGATGGATCCAAAGGATCATTTGCCTAGTAGGAAATGTAAATTCGGCTTTGGCTACAGAACGCTGCAAAGCTATCCTGCTCAAAATCAAGCCTAAGCTAGTTAATCTAGCAATTAATGAGCTGGGTACCCAGGCTTTTATTTGGTGATTCCTTTGTAAAGGAACTAGGGTTTTTTGTACATACCTTTACGGCCCTAGATAAGGCGCAGAATAACAATATATTTCACCAGAAGGTTTTTGCCGGGGCCGGAAGAGGTAGGAGCCGTCTATCCGGCCTTATTCAGAGAGGTTCATACAGACAGAACCGAGGTTCCTATACCGGAAGAGCTGGATTCCAAGAGCAGAGGGCCACACCAGCTTTCTTCCCCCAAATGGGGCAGACCCTGGGTCGCTAGGGGCATCCGAGGAGCTCCCTCTGGAAGACGACCTTATGGTAAGTGTCTACTATCCCCCTTCTTCCATTCAGGGTGTGGGGGGCAGACTCAGACATTTTTCCCATGTGTGGTCGCATCTGACATCAGATGCTTGGGTTCTGCAGGCTGTAACAGGGTACTGCATAGATTTCGTATCACACCCGATTCAACTCTCCCTACCCAGAGAGATTGTTTTTTCCCAACAAGATGCTATCCTTGTATCCAAGGAAATTCACGATCTGATGCGCAAACAAGCCATCACAGAGATCCCGTTCAATACTTCGGGGTACGTTAGCAACCTCTTCCTGGTACCCAAGAAAGACGGAGGAATGAGGCCAGTCATAAATTTGAAACAGTTGAACGCCTATGTGGCCTATCACCACTTCAAAATGGAAGGCATACATTGCCTGCGCGACCTACTACACCCCAAAGATTGGATGGTCAAGTTAGACTTACAGGATGCATACCTCATGGTACCCATTTCAGACAGATGCCATGATTTTGTCCAATTTACGTGGGAAGGAAAGAAATGGAGGTTCACATGCCTCCCATTCGGACTGTCATCAGCCCCATGGTGTTTCACAAAGGTTATGAAACCCGTGATTACCTTACTTCGGAGTCAAGGAGTGTGGCTTATCATCTACCTGGACGCTATCCTCCTGCTGGCCCAGTCCACCAGCCTTCTCCACACACATCTCGCATGGACTCTGACGCTGTTGCAAAACTTAGGTTTCCTGATAAACTGGGAAAAATCTATTCTGATGCCGGCTCGGAACATCAAATTCCTAGGACTGGTGATCGATTCCACTTCACAGACTTTACACCTCCCAAAGTCAAAATTACTGAACATCAAAAAAGAAATCAAACGTACATTGGCCGTTCCCCAATTCTCTCTCAAACACCTGGCACGAGTCATGGGACTCCTGGCGGTTTCCATCCAGGCCATATTCCCAGGCCCACTCCATTATCAGGCTCTACAGCGACTTCAGGCCTCTCACCTCAGAGGCGGTGCATCATACAGGGATATGGTAACGCTAGACGAAGAAGCGAAAGACGAACTTCGCTGGTGGCTCCTCCATATGGAGGCTTGGAATGGGCACGCTATTTTCAGAGCAACCCCAGATCTGATTATAGAATCAGATGCGAGCTTATACGGCTGGGGTGCGCGCTGTGGAGATACCTCCATGAGAGGCAGATAGTCGGACCTCGAAACGACACTACACGTCAACTGCTTAGAACTTTTAGCCGGGTCCTTTGCAGTACGCAGCTTTTCCCTGACTCAGTCGCAATGCACAATTTTATTGAAGATGGACAACGTGTCCGCATTTAGATATATCAACCATCTGGGAGGCACGAAATCCAAAATGCTAGCAAACATGGCACAAGACTTCTGGCAATTCTGCCTTTTGCACAATATCTTGGTGACTGCGAAATATATCCCCGGACTTTCAAACACCACTGCGGATTGGTACTCCAGACACCTCAGGGACTTCAGCGACTGCCGTCTACACCCAATGACATTCAAGAACATCACAGATACCTGGGGGCCTCTGGGAGTAGAGCTATTTGCCTCCCGATTGAATGCTCAACTCCCTCGGTTCTACAGTTGGAGACCAGATCCTTTGGTTCTCGCAACGAATGCCTTCCTCCAGGATTGGATCACGGAGACGAATTAGGCATTCCCTCCATCTGCAATGATTCCCCGTTGCCTTCTACATCTTCAACACCAAAAGGGCACGTTGGTCATTGTGACTCCCCTATGGCCGTCCCAACCATGGTTCCTTTACCTTCTAGAGATGTCGATAGACTTCCCATGCCTCCTCCCATCGTACGACTCCCTTTTCCAGGACCTGGATGGACAACCTCATCCCTTAATTCTCCAAGACCTTCTCAGGCTTATGGCGGACCTTCGTCAATCGAAGGCGTTCCGCAAGCAACTCTCAGACTTCTCGAGACTGTATGGGCACCCGGA